GAATTGAATGTGAAGATGGTGGCAGGTTTAATGTTAAAGCTCTTTGGATATTGTTCCTTTCATTTCCCTTGCTCTTTGTTTACTGGGAAATCTGATATAAAACATTAAAATTCAGTTGAACTGAGGACAAATCAGTCAAAGGGAAGGTGAAGCAGTAGTGTATTGTAGACAGTGCTGTGCTGCTTGCCTGGCTGGAACAGCAGTTGTATGTACTGAGTGTTACAATGGCAAACAAAACATAGGAAACATTGTACCTAAGGAGTGGCCAAAGGCAACTGCACTAAAGTCTGTGTTCACAAAAGTTTGGAAAGTAGATAAGGAATTACATTCTTGTAAATTATTAGTGTTTATTGTAGAGACATGGACGGTTCTAAGAAAAGTTAATTCTACAGGAATGTTTAAATGGTGTGGATGGTAGGATATGATTGACCTAATTGTGATGGAGTGTTATGTATACAAAGGCCTTCCAAGAGATGTCTCTTTGAAGTAGGCCTCTCATGAGAGTGTGAAGAAGTGAAATGGCCAAGGCCTTGAGGTGAGGTAGGGGACGAAGTCTCTGGGACAGTGGAGAAATAGTAGTAGGCGCTAGAGACAGTAGTGAGCAGATGTGATGCATGCCAAGAAGGGTGTGTGACAGCAGAGACAGGCCAGGCAGGAGGGTGCTTTGAGGACATAGTGCCCCTGCCACAGACAGTTCTCAGAAACAGAAAACTGATAAAGACCAGCTTCCAGATAAGGACCCAGAAACATGCAGAATTAATACATATGGCACGAGGAATTGGCTACTGTAATTCCTAGAAAATAGATCCCAACATCTGTGGAAACAAAATCTTTTTCCCCATTCTGTTGAGGTCCCCTTCTAAATTAGTTTCCGTTCTTTAGGGGAACTATCCTGTTGAAAGACGGAGTATGGTGAAAGCTCTCTGAGATCCTGTGGATTTAGATGGGAGTAACAAAGTTTCAGAAACTGCTTAAATATCTGTCTATACCCCAGACTTTAAATTCTGCTTCTACAAATTTACTCTATAAAACTTAGGGAAATTCCATTTGCACACAGTGCTTTTTTTTTTTTTTTAAAGATTTTATTTATTTATTATGTGTACAGCATTCCTTCCTTGTGTGCCCTCAGACCAGAAGAGGGCACCAGGTCTCATTATAGATGGATGTGAGCCACCATGTGGTTGCTGGGAATTGAACTCAGGACCGCTGGAAGAACAGTCAGTGCTCTTAACCACTGAGCCATTTATCCAGTCCCCTCACAGTGCTTTCTTTTATGGTCACTAAGAGTGACAGCTGGAGCCAGGTGAATTTTTTGTAGACAAAGAACTTCTGAACAGGAGACATGTACGATGTACAAAGTAGCCAGATAAAAACTGTTGTCTCTTAGAGATGGACATTTGCTCACAAAGAGCATATTTGTATCTTTTAAGATTGAGTCAGTGTGTTAAGAATAGCTATCTTTAGTTAGTATTTCCAAGCATAACTTTACACCTTCCTCAGTTACACATGTTGTAAGTGATGCGTTCCTTCTTTATGGCATAGAAGGAAAGCTCCAGGCAAGTACACTAAGGTATCCTTTTGAACACTTTAAGTAGGCCCTGTTAGGGTAGCAGTTGAATCTGGAGTTGAGTGGGGACCAAAAAGGAATGTGCTAGATTTAGTCAGGTGGAGTGCGTGGAGGTTTCTGTTAACGCTAATCTGTGCACAGTTCTTGCTCAATCTCTTCCAAATAATGTATCAAGATACGTTTCTCTGTAACATGACCAAACAAGTAACACATACACATTTGATAAAATCACATAATCCACATGTGAACTGCCTTCACTGAGCAGGTACACTCCTAGTTTTTAAACTTGAATTGACAGCCAGCTGCCTTACAGTAGTTTTAAGGATTATTAATGCAGAATTTTAATTTCCTTTGTGTTTTTGATATGTATGCATATGTGCTTACCAGTGTATGCACACACACACACATGTGGAGGCCTGAGGTTGGTGTCTGGTGTTACCCTCAGTCTCTGTCTCTCCCCCCTCATTTGTTTACTTACTCATTCATTTATTTGTTGAGGTGTGGTTTCACTGAACCTGGAGCTTATCTTTTCAGCAGACTGACGGGCCAGAGGTCTCCACACTCAATTCCAGTTCACAGGTTTGCGGTGCATGCATACCACCAGGACCACGTCTACACGGGTGCTGGATATGTGCCTTCCACGCTGAGCTATCTCCCAGCCCATTTACTTTTTCTAGAAGCACTTAAATTTTGGAGGCTGTTTTCTTCAGGTTTTGTATAGTGTGTCTTTGAAAATGCCAGGGGTGGTACAGAAGTATATGAATCATGAAAAGGAAGCAGAATTTTGTTTAGTTTTTGGTCTCAACTCTGTAGCCTAGCTTCGTTAGTGCCTAGACTGACTGTAGCTCAGGCTGGACTTGAACTCCTGGTAACCTTTTTTTTCACTTCCCTAATGCAGTGTTAGAGGCATGTTGCCACCAGTAGAGTTTAGATATTGCTGCAGAGGGATGTGTTCTGACTAAGTTACCAGTAAGAGATGCAGCCTCCACCTGTGCCTGTATGCCTAGTGTCCTGCAGTGTAGAGATTGACCTGAGCCATCTCTGCAGCTAGGAGTCATTAGAATGCTGATGGGTTTCGAGTAGGTGGATGGATGTTCAGGATTTGAAGTCACTGCAAACTGTAAGTTGACAGTTATGTCTGATACTGAGATGGTTCACTTCTTTATGGTGTGAGTTCATCGCTGACAGGTTGGAAGTGCAGTGTCTGAACTTGGGGTTTACGTACTTGAGTATAAATAGTCCTCAGTGTGCAGTTGAGAGGAGCTTCTCAGGAAAATGTAGGCTTGTTTGTCCTGGTTTTAAGGACGCTTGGTGTAGTAGACTGAGCGTGTTACAGCCCCTCCCCCATACTTAATTCCTAGAATTTTCAGGTGTTTCTCTGTATGGTTGAAAAGTGAGGAGTGCTTTTTGCAGGTGTGATTGAGGTATCTTGAGAAGGAGACTTTAATCACAATTATTTCTTGACTATCACCACATGTGCCCTTTAAGAGTAAGGCAAACTTATAACATAAATCAGAGAACTAAGAACAGAGCAGAATGAGATTCCAAAATGTTGTCTTTCTCCAGGCGTGGTGATGCACTCCTTTATGTACCAGCGCTGGGTTAGAGGATATCCTAGTGTAGGTAGCAAGTTCCAGAGCAGCCAGAGCTACATACTAAAGAGACGTGTCTCCAGGAACGGTGAGGTTTAAGATTGCAGTCTGAAGATGGTCTTCCTGGAGGCACCTGAAGCCAGCAGCATTTCAAGGGCCTCCTTCGATGGTTCCAAGCGAACTGGGCCCCGCTAACATGCTGAGTTCAGACTTTCAGGCTCTGGAATAAAATTCTGCTTTGAACTTCCTATGTGATTGTGGGTTTGAAATTGTGAAGAAACTGGATGATGCTGAGGCACATGACAGAAAACAGTGTTGTTTTTAACCTCCAGAAATGCGGGTCATTTACAAGTTTTTCTTTAGTGCTCTGAAACACATTCAAACCTGTGATTGAAACTGGAGGGAAGATGTCCGTAGCTAGCTCGGTTATGGCCTACAGCTATGTGAAAGGTCAGACTGGGGATTCTCAGTCCCCATAGTGAAGCAGTAAAAAGGGGCTAAAGAATAAAATAAAGTTTAAAAGGAAGTAGTTCACTTGGCTATTTGAGAGAATCTCAGTCTATCTATATTGCAAAAGATAATCACAGAAGGGACCGGAAGAGTTGGCTCAGTAGTTAGAGCAGTTGTAGCATGTGCAGAGGATCCAGGTTCAATTCCTGCCGGCTTACAATACCCTGTAACTGCAATCCTAGGGTATCCAGTACCCTCTGAGCTCTCTGGGTACCAATTATTCATGGTGCACATACATATGTGCTATGAAAACATTCATATACACAAAATACACAGAACTTGGTATAGAATGAAGGTTTGGTATCTAGACAGCTTTTTGGAGATTGCTGCTGTTTGAATGTTCTTTTCAGTGAAGCCCTTTACGTGTTTGCTCCTGTCTTAGGTGGAGCTCTGAGAACTTATTCCTCACTGTTGTAGTGTCCCTGCAGGAAGGGACTAAGACATGCATAGTCAGAGGGAGGTTGGGACTGAAAAGGACACTGCACATAACAGTTGGAAAGAACAACAGAGCACCCTAAGGAGTGATGATAGATAGGATAGAATGCCCCAGAACCAGAACATGTACATTTCAGGAGATGGCCTCAGACGAGTGAGGAATTGAATATGGATTGACTAGGAAGTCAGGATGAGGGATGGGTTTCCTGTGTGAGGGAAGAAACACTGGTTTGTGACCTTTTGTTGCTGTGTTTGGGAAAACAGTATAAAAGGCAAGAGTTTGATATTGCATGGAGTGGCTTGAACAGAAACAGAATGTGAGAAGACAGGCTTATGTGCACCATCGCAGTTAGATGCTTTAGAGAGAATTGATAAACTTGCTGAGGGGGGCATAGCAGGAACCCAGTGCCTGGGAACTCTAGGCATTGAAGGAAACTGCAGTCAGTCAAAGGGAAATGAATGAACAATACACACAAAAAAGTTCTCCCAAGAGAAAGAATTTGGGATATAGAAGATGAAAAAGAGCCCCATTATATATAATATAAAGATTTTTGCCTTTTAAATAGGAAATTGTATCTTTTATTTTAATATTTACTAAGTTTGTTCAACTTTTATATGCATGTATCTATGTGTACGACGTGTGCTTGGTGTATGGAGTCAGAAGAGGGTTTTAGATCCCTTGGAACTGAACTTATGAAGGGTTATGAACAACATGGTTGTGAACCATGTTGGTGCTGGGAATCAAACCTGGGCCCTCTACAAGAGTAACAAACAAGTGCTCTTAACTGCTGAGCCATCTCCAGACCTTAATTTGAAATTTTAGAACATAAAATCAAAAGGAAATCCTGAAGGCACCATTTTGGGGTGGGGGGAGCTGGGTTCAGTGTACAGAGCAGTGAGTGTTTCTGAAACTGTGAGACTTCCTTAAATGCCACCCAACCCTCTTCTTGAGCAACACAAAATATCCCTAAGGTATCTAAAATTGAAGTTTGAAAATGACTGAGGAGTTTAATAAGTAATTAAAATTGAGAGGCAAGGTTAGTGAAGCAGTGGCCATCAATCCTCTTTAGATTGTAACAAGTGATCTCTGTAGAGTGGGTTTGGAGCATGTTTTCCTCAGGAAGATAAAGTCAGTATTTAACTCGGGTACTGGTGCTTGTGGCTCCTTCCTTACCCGTGTGCAGGCCGGCTCTCAGCTTGCAGCTCTGCAGTTGACCTCAGCTTCCTAGGTGCTGGACCACAAGAGTGTGCGACCCAATGCCCACCTGTGTTTTTGTTTTTTCTCTTTTGTTCCTTTAAAGTTTGAACATGAAAACTTAGAGAAAAGTATAATGAAGTTTGACCAACAGATTAAATATTTTGTTTTGATTTTTGTTTTTTGAGACAGGGTAGCTGTCCTGGAACTAGCTCTTGTGGACCAGGTTGGCTTGCTTCTGCCTCCTGAGTGTGGGATTACAGGCATTTGCCACCACAGCCCAGCCCAACAGATTGAATTTTAAAACATTTTAAATTTATGTTTTTGTAGCAGGGTCTTGTAACTGAGGATGACTTTGAATTCATGATTCTCTTGTCTCTACCCCATAAGTGCTGGTGTGCCCTACTGTGTGTGTGGCTCTACTTTTAAAACATTTCCTTTTTGTTGTGAAAACAAGGTATGCATTAGTATATATGTTCCAGGAAGGAAAATAAATGAAGTCATTAGACTTAGAAATGGCAGAGCTGGTCAGGCCTTGTTTCTTGACTTACAGTGGAAGTCCACATTTCTGAGTGGCACGGTGCCTGTGGCTGCAGTTCTCCATTTTCTTTCCCCTTGTCCTTTTAATCACTACCATAAAAAGTGTTTTCTTTCTTTAGATTGTTAAAGAGGTTAGAAAGTCCACGAAGGAGGATACTGATTGAATATGTTGCGGTAGGCTGTGGTAAACTAGATGGTATCTAAGATGCGGGGAGGAGCAGCCAGGCCCTACATGGAGACAGATCCTTTTAGTTTTCTGACTTTTCACCAGCCACTCGGGTATGAGATGCAGAGTTCTCGGCATAATGGCCAGAAACAGTGGTCTTAACGACTGCAGTGTAGCAGACACTAGTCTTGTTGGCCTCTCAGGTGTGCACAGAATAACCTGTGGGTTAGCAGCGTGTGTGCTCCTCCTTCCCATGCAGATACTACAGTCCTCATCGGGCACCAGGGAGAGCAGAGGCAAGGACAAGAGGTGTCTACTGGGTGGGAGGTCAGGACTTAGGAAATACCTATCAAGTGAGGTGTTGGATTGACACCAGGCTGACAGATAGATGGATGACAAATTAGTTTTCCATCACTGGTGAGCCTGGGTATTAAAAGTAAGAGATGATGTAAATTTATCAAGAAATGTGAAGCAAACTGCACTAGCATAAAGAACAAATGTGACTCCATGGGCTTATGTGCTAATCCACTGAACAGTGAGGCTTCTAGCTGTCTGTGCTTGTAGCTAGAGATAGTTACTAGGTGATGCCCTCCTAGTGCAGCAGTTCCTACTGCAGCTGAGACTCAAGCCCAGTGTAGTATTGAAGACAAACTTTGGCTACTGAATTTTTGCTTGTTTAATGTGATTACATTTAAAGTTCTGTTTTGCTTGGTTATTAAGCAAAGCTAATTTCATGCCTTACCTCATTTGTCTACTTCCCATCCTCTACTTTCTTTTTTATTTTATTTTATTTATGTTGTTTTTTGAGACAGGGTTTCTCTGTAGCTTTGGAGCCTGTCTTGGAACTAGCTCTTTCTTTTGGACTAGGTTAGCCTCTAACTCAGAGATCCACCTGCCTCTGCCTTCCAATTGCTGGAATTTAAAGACATGTGCCACCACCACCTGGCTCCATCCTTTACTTTCAAAGGTGACTTCAGTTATTTTTTCTTTGTTTGTTTTTCCAGAGTTCTTGAAATGCGTGTTTAGCATATGGATATGTTGTAGTTTTATTCTCTCTTGATTACACAAAAACACAAAAGTAAGATCCTCTGCTGCTATTTGCTATTTTCCTTTTTCACCTAATATATATTGAAGAGTTCTGTTTCAGAATGTGCAGGCCCCTTTTTTTATTTCTCTGGATACTGTTTTGGGGGAGCACATGGAAGCGAGCCCTCTGGTGTGTGTGAACAGGAGCATACATGGAAGCCAGAGGTCAACACTGGGTGTCTTACATAAGTCCTTTTTTTTTTAATATTTATTTATTTATTATGTATACAATATTCTGTCTGTGTGTATGTCTGAAGGCCAGAAGAGGGCACCAGACCCCATTACAGATGGTTGTGAGCCAACATGTGGTTGCTGGGAATTGAACTCAGGACCTTTGGAAGAGCAGGCAGTGCTCTTAACTGCTGAGCCATCTCTCCAGCCCTTACATAAGTCCTTCTATCACTATGAGACAGGGTGACTCAGTGAATGTGGTACTAACCATTTTGGATAGACGATGACTGCCCAGCACGGTGCTGATGTGGGCCAGTCACTGAGCCCAACCTTATATGTAACACAGGACCCTCATGTTCATACAATGGGAGGATGTGGTGGTGACTGACAGACATTCAGGAGTTAAAATAGCCTTTCTTACTAATGGTGTTGCTTAGGTTCAGGGAGGGTGACTGACTCTGTTGTGTCCCATCCTGAACTCTCTGGGTACTAGTCCCACTCTAATAAGAAAGGCAGAGATGACCCCTGGGACTAGAGGTGTACATGGTCTTCATGGTAGCCAGGGGCATTTCCTATAGAGAGGAAAAGCCAGTTGCTTGAGATTAAAGGCAATAAAGGGACTTCAGGAATTGACACTGTAGCCAATGTGAAATTAAAATAGCATTTTATAATCAGGTCAAAACGTTTGGTACTTTTTTTCTCTCTCCCAAGAAATTGAGACATAGAAAAATTCCTTTTTAATTTTCTGAGACAGGATTTCTCTGGGTATCCTGGAAGTCATTCTGTAAATAAGGCTGGCCTTGAACTCAGAGGTTTACCTGCCTCTGCCTCTTGAGTACTGGGATTAAATGTGTGCGCCACCACCACCACCTGGGTAAATTCTTGGTTACTATTGAGTATACAGTAAAGTGGAAATTTTTAACTACAGTTCTTGTGTGTGTCTATCTAATTATAAATACATTGATTGGGTAGATATGTACCCCGGGACTAAGTCTGTGCCTTTGCTCTAGATAACTGTTACTCTTGGTAATAATACAAAGAATCAAGTCTATGCTCAAGGCATGAAGTCCATAAAATTCGATTTTCATAAACTTGAAATAGATCAAATATGTAGAGTTAATTAGGGAAGTCTTTCCTGGTGTATGTAGGTTGTAGATTGTGACCTGGTAACCGAAGATGCTGAGAGAAGGGAATGACAGATCTTGTTCTTATTTTAACTTTTAGGCTGAAGAACAGTTGAGAATTGTTGAAGAACAAAGAAAGATTCATGAGGAAAGGATGAAACTAGAACAAGAACGACAACGTCAACAAAAAGAAGAACAAAAAATTATCCTGGGCAAGGGGAAGTCCAGGCCAAAACTGTCCTTCTCGCTAAAAACCCAGGACTGAGCGGCAAACTCGGAACTTTTTACAAAGGAAAATGAAAAAACTTCGTATTGTAGCTTCATGTTGAAGTGGTTTTTTGTTTTTGTTTGTTTATTTTTTTTTTTAATTGGAGAATCTGGAAAGTTAGCTTGTTCTAATAGGGGCTATGCTCTGCAATCCCTTTATTTTTCCCTCTCCTCCATTACGTCAAATCCTTATCAGATCATTGCTGTTTTTTAGAAGTGGTGTATTTTTCACCTGTTGGGATTCTGTACTGGTTGGTGGTCTGCCGTAGAGCAGGTCACGTGGTGACTAGCTGGTCTGGTAAGGTGTTCACTGACCACTGACTTCGGGGTTATACTCTGTTTACAACGTCCTAATGCTGGTGTTGCTGACTTTTTGTTTTTTTATACATTTATAAAAAAAGAAAAAGTTGGTAATTGCATTGCAAAATTCCCAGGGTTGTGCTGGAGCTGTGTGGTGTGTGTTACAGCAGTGTCCTTGTGATGCTGTGGCTCTTGGTGTTCCCGATAACAGGTAAGGATAACAGTTGCTCACCTGCTACAGAAGCACCTGCAGTGCAGTATTGTCTCTGTTGGACTTTTGTTTCTTTCATTGACAAAGTCAAACCAGCATTCCCCACTGTAAATAAATGATTTTGCTGAATAAAGTAAAGTCTTAAATTCATATGTTTAAGCAATTTTTTTTTTAAACTTGTGTGTAAAGGGTGGTTTACTTTTAGAAGCCTTAGAACTGTTCTGGATTTCCCCTGGTTATATTTTCCACAAGGTTTCTATGTCCACTCAATAAATAAACTTGTGAATTAGTACTACTGGCTATTTTTACAGACACTATATGCTGATAAGAGTTCAAACATCAAGTATTATCTTTGAAAAATCCTAAACCTGTGCCTCTGTTATAGAAAATAAATATTGCCGCAAATTATACTTAATTAACACTAGAAAGTATGTTTTTAAAACTTAAGGAATATTAGGTGACTTTTAGGGTGGACTGTCAGATAGAACTTGTTTTTATGTTCAGAATGACTAAAATAACCTTCATCTTGCATGTTTATTTGGAGGACAAGCACATTTAAATTAACTTTTTCGTTTGTTTGGGTATTTTTGCATGTGGAAACTTAGAGATAACCCTGGGTTTTATTCAGTAGATTTTGCCTCATTTAATTTTTTTTGATTTGTTGAAGTTCACTAGTGTTAAACACTCAAGGAAAGGCTATAAAATGCTATCAGAGGTACATGGGCATGATATAGTGGAGAACCCAGTCCCTAGAGACAGTCCTATCATTAGTTTAACATTGGAAATGTTGCCTGAGATGATGAAATGGTAGATTGTTTTGTGTTTGCATGCTTTGGAAAATCAACTCTTCGATGCTGTAAAGAAGAATGTTAGAATTTTAAGTAGGCATGAGGTTATAGCAAGGTTTTAGTAAACAAAATGCCCTAGCACTCTAAATACACGTTTGCTTCTTTACCTGAATAGATTATAATGCATAAGTTAGCTCAAATTATTTCAATTGAGATTCATTGTTCCTCGGTTGTGTATCCAGGGTTTGGAAGTGCTCGTCAAAAGCTGCTTCTGCTCTGCTAGTGTTGTAGGCGCTGTATCTAAAGAGGAGCCTGGGCTTCAAATACTTGATCAGCCTTTCCGTGCCTTTTATTCCGTCATTAGGTTTTCTTCTCCCACAGTGTGTGCTGCTGGAGACTCCTAGGTATTGAATGGTTCCTTGCTTGGTAACTGCTGCTGTCCGCCAGGCTACAGGAAAGAGGATGTCATTGTTAATGATATGCACCCCACCTTTGACTGCTACAACAATGTAGTAAATTGTTTCTTCATTTTTTCTACTGCTTTTGTGTACGTATTATAAAAGCTAAGACTTTTTTACAGTCAATTATCAGTTCAAATGTTCCCTAATTTACTAAATATGTCTTTAATTTCCAGTTTTGTTTTCTTGAGTTATTTGAATTTTTTGATGCATTACAGAATTAACTATTGACTGTTTATTTTCACTATAGTAGTTAACATTTGTAGTTAATTGCCCTTAATACTGTGGAGTTTGCAGAATTCTTGACTGTATAAACTAAACCTTTAAATTAGCCTGGTGTGAGGACTCTTCAATGCTTAAGTAGGGGAAGGGAACCTTAGGCAGGGACTATAGTTTCCCTTAGGATGCAGCAAATGAGCCTGTTGCTGTTCTGAATAACGATTTGGTCACTTAATTATAATAGTGTATGTTCCTGGCGTGCGAACGTGTTTGTGCGTGTCTCTGTGTGTCTGTGTGTGTGCACACATGCCTGCCTGTGTGTGTGTGTCTGTGTGGTCTCCTTTCCTAGATGAGTAGGATGCCCAGTTTGTCACTTAATGAACATTTTCCATGCTGCTTTTACCGGAGCCATGGGTGCACTTCACAGTCACCACCAGCTCCAACGGACTTGTGAATACTTGATCAAGTGTTGCTGAAGGGCAGAGATGGGGAGGGGGCATAGGTGTCCTCCCGCAGAAGATGGCTCATCTTTCCATTTGTTCGGCTGCTGTTCAACTGGTCTTTGGTTCCCTTGCATCTGTGACCTCTGTTGTGAGGGAGCCTGGCACACTGATGTTGGTTGCCTTGGCTAATACACAGCACCATGTTCTGTAGATAGTCGCCACTTGCTTGGCGTGATCGGGATGCTCTTCCTCTTGTGTGGTGTACAGTGAGGTTATGGTTACTAGAGGAGGTGATTTGTGAACCAGCACCAGCTGGGCAGAGTAGTACAGAGGATTCAAGGTATGATGAACACCCCCCCCTTTCTTTTTAAAATACCAGTGTTTGTTTTCTGTATATTAGAGTGCTCTGCAAATTAGAAACATCTTTTATACTCCAGTCATTGTTGGATTGATACAGTTTGAAAAGAGCATTGTTCTTTCCCCAGTCCTCAGATCAGTAGTGAGAGGATGTGGGAATGATGGTGTTTTTTATACTTAAAAAAAAAAACTGAGTGAAACCAGTAAATTAAAGAGCAGTGCAGGTTGATTGACACAGCAGGTTAAACACCTGCCTTGCTAGGAAGAGTCCTCACTGCACATGCGCGAGTGGCCCTTCGCTTTGGTTAATTGACAGGTGGGACTGGTTTGTCAGAGGTTCTCTTGGGCCTTTATAAGAAGGGCAGAAGGGTTTGTGAGCTCAAAGTTAGAGGCTCCCTTCATTTCCTTGCTGCTGGTCCCAGTGAGTCCAGACTTGAAATTACAGTGACATTGGCTTTTTGTTCTTAACCAAATATCTGATAAGCTCACAGAGTAGAGATCTTGTGTAGACCAGCTATGTAAGTCCACCATAGCACCTGGCACAGTTTGATTGATGAATCATCGATGGCCTCCAGACTGCTCAGTTCACCTTAGGAAACAGGATTTATATCAGCATCTGCAGGTTGTGTTATTTCCTCGCCAGATCGAAGAGGCAATGATTAAGATCCTTCATTGTGGTCACGTTACAGAGCTGTCTGAAGACCAAACTGTTTAGCATTGGGCATAAGGCCTAACTAAGGTATATTTTTACTGGCTTATATAGATTGGCCTTTCAGAAACTCGGTGTTGCTGCCTCCAAGAAATCATTTATATTCACTTTTATAATAGTCTTACTGACTTGAGAAACTTCCTTAGCTACAGAAATCGGTAACTTCCTCTGCCGAAGTACTTGTCCTTTGGCATAGAGTCGTGTCCTGTTTTCAAAACAAACCCAGAATGTATTTGTAAAATGAGGTTCCAGGCCAGGGGCATTAATTACACTGATTGGGGTGGCCGTGCTTTACAATTTCCTTCTACAATTATCTTTTGTACATAACCCCATCACATTTTTTGTCCGGGATTAAGATAGATGTACCAATAGATACGAATGGCTTGAGGTTACATTTTAATTTTCAAAATGACTGGATAAACAGTTGAGAACCAGAATGTTAAGTTTGCAATTCCTGCCTTTGTGATCACAGATGTCTGTCTGCTCACAGAAGGTAACCGGGGAAAGTCACACTGTAGGAATATTTGTGTGTGACTTTTTAAAAGTATATTTACATTGTTCTCAAGGTGAAAAGCTGGGTGTCAATAGCTGGCTAACTGAAAATGGTATTTTTGGAAGCTGGGATATTTTCAGACATTACAAATTTCCTTTCTTTAGTTTACCAGAGAGGATGTAAGAGGAGCTAAGAGGGCACAACTTAAATTTCATAACATACTGGAAATCCCTTCAAACCATGACTTAAAACGTTAACTTCACATTAGAAGAATTCTATGAATTCCTTAAGTAAAAATCTTCTAAAATAAGTGTTTTTTTTTTCTTTTTCCTTTAAAGTTCAAATAGCCTCGCTGCCAATTTTCCGGCAATCATCATGAAGTTAAAAAACAATTATTCACAGGACTGGCTGGCTGTGTGCTGTGTGTGCTGTGCTGTGTGTGTGTGTGTGTGTGTGTGTGTGTTTGCCTATCGGGAGTCCCTTGGTTCAGACTTCAGTACCTCACCCTCAATCACAACTTTGCAGGCTTACATAAAAATAGTAATTACTAAAAAGGCTTTCTTAAAGCTGTGTTTGGGAGAGTGAGCCCATTCCATAGTGCTCTAGTCTTTGGTCTTAGATTGTAGTTTTTCCAAACCAACTCTAGTTACAGTACACATTAATTTAAATTAAAACTTGAAAGTCAGCACCTTTTAAAAAATTCCGAATTTGTTACAAAGAACGATGAAGGGAGAGATGCTAGACAGTAACAAAGCCATGTTTCCTTTTTAATATTTAACTGGGAGGGAATTCCGTTAAATAGGTGTGAAGGCTGCCTGGTTCCGTTTGAAGAAATTCTGGTATTGACAGACAGCATTTAAGAGCGTGTGGTTGATTTTTGTCGGACGGTGGACTGTCCATGGGACTGTGCCTTTTGCCTACCGTGCTGTCCCTGCGATGGGGCGCATTAAGCAAGTGTTTTTGTGTTGGGAGTATCTCATCCATTCCTTAGATTCTGATCCGGTAGTGGGTAGGCGTGTTCTTAAATACAGAGGGGCAAAAGTGAGCGCTAGTGGGCGCTGTGGATCCGTGGAAGTCACCGACGTACAGGTTCTCAAACCCGGTCTTGGGCTAGCACGGCTCAAAGAACTGCTACCACTTCTGCTCTGATAGTCGTCCGGGTCACCCCAAACTTCCCGGCCACTGTGGGGTCGAGGGGTCTCCCGGGACCTAGTGAAGGAAAACTCACTCAGACGTCAGCGGTGTAGCTTTGGGTGGCGGGGAGCATCAAGGACAGAGGACCGGAAATGGGGAGCGGGCCAACGCAGAAGGCGCGGGACGCACGGAGTGGGGCCGGGGGTCGGGATGGGCGGCTGACGACTAGCACTGCCTAGCCTGTGGCCTCGAAGGTTCGCGCTGCCCCGCCACAGTCAGTTTGAACTTGTGTCGAGCCGGGTCGGTCACTTGGTGCCTGAATCAGAGGAGGCCCTCAATTTGAGGCTTCGAAGGCATCCGCGAAGGACCTCGGCGCGGGGCACCCGGGGGCAGCGCCGCTCGCAGGACCCTCGCTCTACCCAAGCTAGAGCAGTAAGACTCCCGACACTCGTCAGCCCCGGCGGCTGCGGGCCAAGGCGACCCCGGGGGCGCGCCACCAGTGGCTCGGAGGCGGCTGACCCTGCGCCCTGAGCCGCACGGGGCCACTCGCAGCGCGGCTCATCCCGGAGGCGGGGCTCACCTGTCAGCGGCGCCCCACCTCGCTGTGCCCGGGGTCGGGTGGGCGGCGGACGGACGGGCGTGCTGTCCAATCCGTGCGCGCTCGCGGAGCGGCAAGCCAATGGGCTGCGTGCGACTGGGCGGAGCCCCGCGTTTATAGTGCTCTGACAGCGCGCTCGGCGCGCTGACTCTCCGCGGCGGGGACGGCGGCGCCGGTCGGATCGCGGAGCTGCGCGCATAGCGGGTCCCGGCGCCCTCCCCGCACACAAAGGCCCGCGCGCGTCCGGCGCCCGCGGGGGTCCCAGTGCCCTCCTGCCTGCTCGGCGGGCCTCGACCTGCGAGGATTCAGGAGGCGCCCTCTCTCTCCTCTCCTCTCTCTGCGCTCCGGAATATGGAACCGCGCCGACGCGGCGCCCACTTGCCCGGGCCGCTGCCCACTGCCCTGGATCTATAGTCAAGCGGCCCCTCTCAGGAAGCAGCACCCGCCACCCTACACCGACTCTCCTCTCCGCTGCGGGCCTTTGTCCCAGCCCAGCGCCCCCGCCGCGCCCGCTCTCCGCGGCTGGCCCGGCACCCTGGAGCCGCACGGGAGCCGGCCGTCCCAGCTGCGTCCGGCGCGGCGCCCCGGAGCCCCGAGTCCGCCGAGCCGCCGCGCCCCGCGCGTTCGACCCCACCCCGCGCGCTGAGGGCCGCGCAGGGCAAGCGCACCTGGCCTCGGCGACCGCTGGAGCGGCGCGGCGCGTCCGCCCCGGAGGATTGGGGGTCGCGGCCCGTGTCCGGTCCCATTGCGACCCGGAGTGCGCAGAACTGGGAGCTGCTTGGCCATGGCCCGGTCCAGGAGGGACTCGGTGTGGAAGTACTGTTGGGGACTTTTGATGGTTTTATGCAGAACTGCGATCTCCAGATCGATAGTTTTAGAGCCTATCTACTGGAATTCCTCGAACTCCAAGTAAGTGGTGTCCACGATTCCTTCCTCTTCCCCGACCCCCGGGCTGGTACCCGGGGGGGACGCCGTATGGTCCGGGAGGGAGGAGGCCTCGGAGCCTGTTTCTAGAACCTGAGGCTCCTGTCCCCCAGCCCCCACCCCGTCACATTTCTCTAGGTGGGGACCGGTTGGACTCCAAGGGCCTCTTCCTGGGGCTCCTACCTCAAGTGCTCGAGGGTGCCCAAAGCCCTGGCGACTCGGGTGGCACGTCGGGAAAGGTGTCTGATGGCGCTACCCAACCCTCCCTTCTTTTTGGAGAACGGAGGACGTCGCCACTAAAGGGGCTACAAACGCGCAGCGACTGGCGGGCTCCGGAGCCAGGCAGAGATGCTGCGCTCTCTAGAAGCGCGGGAGCCACCGGCCGGGGCCTCGCGGGAAGGCGACAGGAATCGGGGGTCTGGGGCAGTGGAACGTCCCTTTGGGGAGGGGACCCTGAGCCCACAGCGTCTGGGAGCCGGCGTGGCTCGGAGTCTTTTCGCTAGCCGGAACGGGCGCGAGGTGCTCCAGCTCGGCCGGAGAACTCGGGCTGCCAGCCCTCCGCACGTCCGCCTCTCCCTTTGCGTTGGAACCGGTGGCGTAGCCCAGGCGCGGTCCGGGTAGCTGGCTCAATTTTAACGACGTCTTTTGGAGAAACTCGGGGCCCTACCTAGTCAACGCTACAACCTTCGCATTTGGGGAGTCGGGAGTCCCTTGTTCAGACTTGCTTTTTAGCAAAGCGCACTGCCGGAAGAAAACCAGGCCTGAGACTAACTTTCAGGTCTGGGCTCCCAGGGTGCGCTCGGGATTTAGAAAATATTAGCCATCCTTTCTTTGGTATGGTCCCTGTAACCGCACCTTAGTGCTGCCTATTACCTCATCTTCCAACTTAGGGCTAGAAAGTGCTGTGAGGGATTCTGGACTCAGCCCTGGAAGAGTGTGGCGACGCTGGCTGGCTCCTGGGAGGCAGACCTTTGCGATTAGAAGCAAAATCAATGGCCTAATTGGAGTTGAGCGTATGGATGGTGGCTGGCTTCAGAGTAGAGATGAACGAATTGATTTGGAAATTACCCTATAAGCAAAGAATTGCACCTATTCTCTTAGATGCCAGTGGTAAATTTCGAATTCACCAACGTAAGTGACCAAACACGTTCCCCTTCGAAAGGGCAAAAAAAAATTTCTACAGCTGTAAATGACCCGAAGCAGACATTTTTGCGTGTTGCCAGGAGGCCCTTGTTTTAAAGTTATTGCCGGCCGTCTATGATGTAGTCTGATCTGGTATAGAATTTTTTTTTGTTTTGGGTTTTTTCTTCTTTTTTTAATGTAAGGTGTTGTATTTGCTCCCCTGGCGTGTCATCTTTGCAGCCACACGGGATCTACAGGCACCTACTGGTGCCGGAAGGCGCCTGGCTGGGTCCTGAGCGCCGTCGCCGCTCGGGCTGGGGCCCTGGTGGTGGCTGCTGCTAAAGCTCGTTCGCAGTGCCTACAGAGGTCACTCTTCCCTGCCGAAAGCTCGCCGTGGGCGCGCCCCTCCCCCTCCCCGGGCTGTCCGCCTCTCTCCACTTTGCCCTTTCACTCACAGCCTCTTGTCTTCTGCCCCCCCCCTTCCTGGTTTGGATTTAATATTTATATTTCAAATTAAATATAGCTTAAAGAAATTCCCACGAAACCCTTCAGAGCAACAGAGCGACATAAGTATTTTTTTATGTTCATAGTGACCACTCTACTTGGGGGTGCAGCAGGGAGAATTAGGAACGCCGACTTGTTTGGGGTCGGGGAGAGCAGTGTTACGCGTGCCTAGCATGTGGAGAATCGTGTCTTCTGTTTGCTACGTATTAGGGAGGGAGTGATGACTACTTTGATCTTTAATAGTATAGTTTTCTGAGCCACGGATGAAGAGAGGGTTGCTAAGGGCCTGCATTTCCGAGGAGTAGGCCTCCCCGCCTGGCTGTCGGTGTGACTGCTCCCCGGCCTCCCCAGTAAAATGTCGTACAGTTTTCCCGAGGATGGCTCGAAGAAGCCTTTGGAAAGCATGTGGCTGAAAAGCTATCTGTGAGATCAGAAAGATCTCTTCCTGAGGACTACAAAAGAGCCTTTTAGTGTTTAGTGCCTGGGACTGCCTCCCTTGTTCACGTTTCCAGGGGAAAGTTTCTCTGGGTGAGATGTAGCAGGCAGGTACCAGAGGCTTGCAAGTTCCACTTCCCTGTGCGGGAACTGTGGGACAAGTCCCTTGTCCTGAAACAGGCATCAGTAATTAGATTTGTTTCATTCAGGGGTCAGCCTTTTTAGCAGGTGGTCCACACAGGGAGCCTGCAGCAGCTGTGTGCGCGCAGGGCCCAGAAAATCCTTTGTAAACTGGGATCTCCATAACTACTTTAATCACATTGCCTGCCATCCCATCCCGGAGAGTTTATGTAATAATCAGAAGTTCTGTGTACTCAGAGATTAGTGGCTGCCCTGTAAGATTAGCCACATTGTATCTGTAGATGCTGGTACTGTTTAGGTCATTTCTCAATTATTTTTAAGTTCTGGAAAGAACAGCAAAGCAAATCATTTCTAATTAACACTTCAGTAGAACCCCTCTCTCCGCCATAGTATTTTTGCCAAAATAAAGTGATGCTGGGGTTTTTTTTTTGGTTGTGGCCACTTGTTTTGATGAATAGTAGTTTCACTTTAGGATTAATAATGCTACATTGGCTTAGTATTTGAGGATAAATTACACCTTCGAAAATTTCATTCTAGTATTAATTTATGTCTGGAGGTTTTATTTTGTAAGTATTGCATACTAGTTACTTTACAAAGCGTTGTGCTTTTCCCATGTAGTTTTCCCCCCATATAACGCTGAATTCCTGAAATTGATTGGCTTGATACAAAAGAATGGCTGGATAATAACCAGATAACCTGAAACACACGGGCCTACCCCCCCCCCCCACCAGGTCAGACCCTGGATAAATATGGGCCTGTCAGATTGATAAACTAAACTACAATGGCTAGAACTGTTTAAAAAGCTGTTCAATAACACATATGCACCAGCCTACCTTCTATTGTGTCTGGAATTCTTATTTTTGTAGAAAAATAAATGCCGACCCAACCATGAATGATTATCACCTTGAACGGTGCCCACACTCCACCATTTGCCTTGGGTTAATCTTGTCAGTTTTAACAGAGAGAGACGAAGCCGGGAGCCCTGGAGTGGGATGAGTACTGTCTCCATCCACGTTCCTCACATTTTGTCAGGATAATAAACTGTAGGTAGTGGGTTTCCTGTTCCACAGCTGAGCCAGTCAGGACACAAAGACTAACCTGGCAGCCTCTTCAAATGAGGGTCTGAGTGTCCCAGGACTGCACTTCTTAACCTTAGCAATTACAGCTTCCAGCCCCAGAAAGGAGAGCCAAGGTTAGGATGATTTACTGGGCACTCGGTTCTAAACCCTTCACAAAGCTTAGCTGTTGACACTTGTCCTACCAATGCAAAGAAATGCAAATGACCCCCGCATTCCACTACGTCCTGATTTGGTTGCCAGAGTTTGGAGACAGGTGAATTAGCCACCCCCAGGGACTACCTAGAAACCACGTGTTGGAATGGTTTCCCTGGTCTGCTGGAGAACTGGTGGGTTTAATTAGCTTTCCTAGAACCTCTTCGCACTTACTAAGATGAATCCTGTTGGTGGGTCCACATGATAACCTCCTTCAACCAGCGTGGGCACCGGAGCCACTAAATCCTTCCTGTCTAACTCAGCGAAACATTCCGGCTTGCTCCCTGGAACTTAGTGTGTCACCTAACTTGGACCCAAATTTCAGAGTACTTTCACGGAATGGGAGACTATTTCCCCATCCCTGCATGACCGCAGGGCAGCGTCACAGAAGTGGGAGTGGCAGAGAACAGGAAATATAGCATGTAGACCCTGAGAAGAGAAGAGATTCATTTTAAAGAACATTATTTCCTGACATTCCAGTGAAAACTTTATTCTTCAAATATCTAATTACAAACTGGACACTAAGACGCCTCCTTCCCCGAAAGATGATGAAACTGTCTCTGCCTGCCTTTGCTGCCGACATGAAGAACCTGTTTTTCAGGTCACTTAAACATCTGCATAGATTTGCTTGTGAGATCACCCTTTGTTAAAGAGAAGTGTTGGGCTATTTGAAATATTTTGATTAAAATATGCAGATTCTGTGGAACTACGAGCTTCTAGAGAGGGGTTAGCTCTCTCTAGGTAGGACCCCTCCCCCATTAAAGGGGAGGATTAGAAGGGGGCCCGGCGAGGAATAAGAACAGCCGAAAAGGAAGGATAGCAAATGAGATGTGTTCCGAACAGCTTGGAAAAACTCCTGTGGCTTCATTGTCTCCATAAAGCCGAAGAATACAAAAGCAAGCAGTCAGGCCTTCCCGTGATGGGAGATGTAAACCGTTGACACGGCTCCCCTGTTTAACTTGTTTAATTCTCATTTTAAATTCAGCACTATACCAGCCGTGTGAACTCTGAAGATTTCTTTAGTAATCCATTTTGTAGTTCGGAATCAAAAACAAAGTGAAAGGGTCTGACACAATTTGCTTTTATTTTTAGGCAAATCAACCCTGGTCATAGTTAATAAGGGGATTACAACCCAGACTACGTCTTTACAGATGTAAAGTAAATCAAGGGTAGAGCATAAAGAAACTGATCCCTTTTGATTGAAGTACTGTAGAAAAGGCATAGAGAAGCTGGCAGCAGTAATCTGATTGTATGGCAATAAAACCACCATTTTCTGTCTTTCAGATAAAAAAAATGTGGTAAATCCATGCAGTTCATAAGATGTAAAGGCAGATAAAGGGGAAGCCTTGGCAACGTATAGATTAGCTTGATGTTAGAAATGACACGTCCCTGAAAAGGGTGTGGGGCGAAGGCCTTGCTCCAGGCTGTTGGGTATTGTGTGAGAGCCAGGCAGACTTGGGAACTCGGATTAAGAACCATGAAAGCACTACTTGTGGTCTGGGGTGGCTGGAG